ATTATAATTTTTAATTAAAGATGGGAACGAGACGAGAGCTCCTTCGAAGACCAGAAATTGGATCTCTTCCGGTTTCCTGCAAATTCCGTCATTTTTGCCCTTCCGCTTCCGTCATCCGTTTTTTATTCTCCGTTTTCTTTGCCTTTCCGCTTTTAAAAATCCGGAAGGGCCATCCCTGATATCTCCCTATATTTTACAATTAAAATACCTAACCTTCAAATGTTGAATTATCATCTTCTAGAGAATGATTTTGATTTTTAATTTCCAAATTATTATTTAAAACATTTCCTTGTAATTTCGGAAGACAAAAAGGAATTCTAAAATAATTTTGTATTTTTAATTTAATTTAAAATTAATTTACTTCTCCGGTATATTTAATAATTTAATTAATTGACAACAATTATCTTCGGTAATATTTAATTGGATAGAACAAAAATGAATAGCTGGCATTTTTTCTTTCAAAAAATAAAGACTTGGAATTTTATTTAAAATATAAAATTGGAATTTTAAAAATATAAACTAGTTGACCAAAAAAGATTTTTTTAAAAGATTCTTCTCTCCCCCCTCCACCTTTTTTAGGTTATTTATCATTTAACTAAAATCCCTCCTTATTCTCCATTTTCTTCAATCCTTTTTATGGTTTAACATTTACTCTTTGCCCCTTTTTTAAATTTTTTTGGATTACTTTCAAGCATCTCTAGAAGGATGCGACATTTTTCTTTGTTTTTTTCCTGTTCCCTTGGCAATTCAACTAAAAAAGGGATGGGACGTTTTTATTTATCAAAATTTTTCTTTTTTTACATCAATCTTCTTTTTAGTCAATTTTAGACTCATTTTGGAAATTGTTAGTAAATTGAGAGGGAAAATGGAAATTAAAAAATATTTTTAAAATTTTAATTATTTAATTCATAAAGAATATAATAAAATATATTTTAAAATATTTTATAGTTTTGCTATAAATCTGGATTTTTGCTTTTCTGATTTTTTGATAGATGGATAATAATTATTACAAAGATGCCGTTTTCGCACTAATAATGAATTGGCTAATTTTATATTTTTTATAAATTTTCAAAGGTTTACAGTTCAAATCTAAGTTGAATTCACCTTTGTAACTATTAGGTATGTACATATAATGATATTTTTCAGAAACCCTGAAACAAAAGAATTGTTAAGAAACTTTTATGTATACATGCTTGGAATAATTTAAATAATATATTAATTTGATTAATATTTAATATTCTTGATTAATATTTAGTATTCTAAGGAAAATATTTTTGGAGATTTTTTAAATTATTCACTTACTAAAGAGTTTGGAAGGTTAATTTAAATAGAATTTTATAGCTTTGTAAGGATAGTTTTTAATTAAATAAAGGTTAAAGATACTTTGTTAATTTTTATGTTTATTATAAATATTTGTTTATTTAATTTTTAAAACAGGTAACAAATAAATAGGGGTTTTTTCTTCAAAAAAATTTTTTTTTGAAACTTTCATTTAATTAAAAAACAATAATTTCCCCTTTTACCCCAGAAATAAAAGTCTACGAAAAAAAAAATAAAGAAAACATTAAGGATTAACAAAGTTACTTTCCCAATTACACATTATTTACGTGTTACTATTATTTATTTATTTTTGTATTATTTTCTGCCAGAAACTTTTCTTTTTTTTACTTTTTTTTATTCAACGCTTCTTGTGTTGAATCATCTTTTTTATTTAATGTTTACCGATAAACAATTTTTTTCTTGCGCCTCTTAAAATAGTTTTTTTTATTTTATTTATCATCTTTAGCCAAATAACAAAAAATAATATTTTGGCTATTTTAAGGTTTTTGTTTTGGTAATTACAAAAATTTATTACATTTTTATTTCCAACTAAGAAATATTTTTTAAAAAATTATTTTAATTTTCTCTAAAATTCAACTTTGTTAAATTAAGCATATTTTCTAATTCATTGTCCCATAAATTAAAAGTAGAGTTCAGCGGTATCGGGATTTTGGCATACTGATCCCGATCTAGATACCGGTCCCGATCCAGGGATCTGGACTGGCCGAAATCGGGATTGGGATTTGGAATAATGATCACATCCCGCGATCGGGATTGAAAATCCCGATCGGGATTTACTAAAAATTTATAAAAAAAAACTTTGGAATCATTAGATGAACGATTTTTGTAGCTTAATATAAAGTCTTTTGTATACGTTTTGAATAGATTAAATTTTATAAATTAAACAGAAATTATCTGAAAAAACAGAAAGGAATAAACTCGTAGGGGATTTCCTGTTGTATTTGTGAGGATTTTGTTTTGGGATGCAAAGGACTTTATTTTTGTTCTAAATTCCTAAAATCAGGATCGGGATCCGGATACCAGTCCCGACTTAAAACAAAAACATAAAAAATTTTTGTAAAATAAATATTACTCATTTTAGTAATAATTTTATTTTATTTTAACGCCGATCATTTCACATTTAAAACCTTTTTTCTGTTGTCTTTGTAGACGGAAATAAATGACCATAAAAATAAAAATAAATGGCCAAATACAAACATTAAAAATATATATAAATTTGTCATCACACAAACCATTCTTTCATTTATTTATTTTTACCTTTCTTGACCAAACCGATAAAAAGCTGTGATTTTATTCTCAAAGTCAAGAATAGCGGCGATTAATCCTTTATTTATTATTATATATTTTTCCTCACAAAAATAAACGTTCTTATTTTTCTAAAAAAATTTTTAGAATTTAAATATGCTTAAATGATTTTCGAGATTTCAAAACTTAAGAAGAAATTTTTTGGATATTTTGGTATAAAATTCGTAAATATTAGGGTTTCAGTTCGAGCCGTCGCTTGGTGCATTTTTTCAAGTTTGGTTTTTTAGATTCGGTTCATTTTCGAGCTTTTTGAGCTGAAAGGCCTTGGCTCGCTCGATCTTTTCGAGTTTTCCTAGTAAATATGTTTATTTTATCAAAAATCTTATTTTTTTTGTTTATTTTTATTTTAACTGTCCGATCGTGCAAAGTTTTGTCAAAAGGTGTGGTAGCTATATTTATTTATATTTTTATTTTTACGACTATGCAATGGACGTTCAAAAGCTTTTAAAAACCGTAAAAGCAATAATAATGCGTTAAAAAAGATGAAAAACTATGATGAAGCGAGAATTGTCAAAATATTGCTGCATTTTGAATTTATTTATAACTTTTTTGGCCTACCTGATTTTTATTTATTGAAAAAATAAAAATTTTTGTTTAAGAACAATTTTTGGTTTAAGTAAATTTATTTTAATTATAAAACATTTTTAGATCAAACCAAAAATAGTAGGATCTTAATTATAATTGATAAAGCTGAATTTGTGTAGCGTGATTTTATACACAATCATTTCTTAATTAGAAAAAATGGGTCAAAATAGTTAGAAAACAAGAATTTAAATTAAAATCTTAAAGAATCTCGATCTCGAAATCTTGTCAAATTTTATGGTCATATTTTGTGATCTAATCTCGTTTCAAGAGAGTATTGCCTTAACGAACCTATTTTTTCAATAATATCTGTTTGATTAGGTTATTATTCAAAAATAAATTCTAATATACCATATTTCCTCTATTAGAATGCCATGACATTCTATTTTTGAATCAGCTTCCAAGGTAGCATTTAATAGAGGAAATACGGTATAAATTTTGAAATATTTTTGATTATTTAATTCAAAAGTTTATCAGCAAATATACTTTTCGAAACATTAATTTTTATTTAATTAATTATAAGTTTTTATTTTTATAAATTAAGTAACTTGTTTATACTTTTTTAAGAACAATCTACTATTAACTATTGTTATTTTCAAATATTACAAATGATTGATGATTATACTAATAATTTTTTAGTAAATCTATTTATTATTAACATTCAAAAAAAGCTTCTTCCGTTCCCATTTTTTCTTTAATTTAATCCAGACAGGTGGCATTTCCTTTTAATTATATTAATAATTATTAAATAAATTATTTTAATATTTTTACCTAATTTTTAATATTTTTTATTTATTTTTTAAAAACAGTTGTCTAAATAATATACCAATTTTCTTACCAATTTAACAATATTTTTCCTTCGTTTGATCTATTTTTTTATTTAATTTGTTCCAACATTTTGTTTCTTTTCTCAATTGTTTTCTTCTTCAAGTATTTTTATCTTTTTCTTCCTTTTTTTAACTTTTAAAATTTAAAAAATAATTATTTTTTGTTTAAATATTTATTTTTAAAAACTAAATTTAAATAAAGTTTATTTTTACATTTCCTCTGAAAAAGTTTAGAACGGTGTAAAGAGACGGGGATCCTTTGTTGTGTTAATCCCTTTAACTTGGCAGACTTTTCCTTTCCCCTTTTAACTGCAAAATAAGAAAATGTGACGAAAGTGTCAATAATATTTAATAAATATTTTTTAAAAATTGTAAATTGATCCTTTCATTTAAAATTTGTCAAAAATAAATAAATATTTAATTGATTTTTAATTTATTTATTTAATTTTAATTTAATAATTTGGCATTTAAATTTATTATTTAATTATATTTAAGGTTAAATTTAATATTTTGTTTATAATATTTATTTTCGGAGGTTACGTATCCAAAAATGGGAGCTATAACTTCGTTAATAACATTCGAATCCGAGACGCCTTGATATGGTTCGATCCATCTCGACGGGCTGAATCGAACCATATCAGAACGTCCCAGATTCGACAATTTTGAACGAAGTTATAGCTCTGCGGTACGCTGGCCTCGCGGTACGTTGGGCTGTACCCCCAAAAAATATTTATTTAATTTTCTATAGCTATGTTTCTGAAATAAAAATTATGTAAAATAATATTCTAATAAATATTTTATAATTCCAAACTCTATATCTACGCGTACAACTTAAGTTTTAATAACCCTCAGATTTTACTTTTTTTAGTTTTAATTTTTAATTTTTTAGAAATATTTTAAACAAATAATATTTAATTTTATTAGTAAAAATTAATTTCTACTTAAATGAATTATTCTGCCCTAAGGGTTTGCCGTCTTGTTTCTTTGGCATTTTCAATGCTTTTTTGTTTGATTGGGGTTGTTTTGCTAATTATTAGTATTGCAACACCTTCTTGGTAGTTTTAAAAAATATTTTCTTTAATTTTATTGTTAGGCTTATTGTCCAATATCGCCTTTCTAACGGAGCAATTGAAGAACACAGACACGGTCTTTGGTTGGATTGTGTTCTTCGTGGCAATGATTTATATTGTAAAAATTAGAAAATAATTTTTTATTAATTTTTAAAATTTTTAGCCTCTCAAAACAGCTATTTTCCTTCATATGGCAGTGCAGGCGATCAATGCGAGTATAAATGGGGTATTTTAAAATTAATTAAATTTTTGAGGGGGGTTTTAATTATTTTTGAGTTTAAAAATAATAAAAATTATTTTTAAAACAGTAAACATCGACTCTTTCACTCCATATGCAGTTTCTTCTGCTGGTGGCCCTCCAATGGATCCTTACTATGGAAGATCTGGGGCTAATGCTTATGCGATGAGTACAATGTTTGAAAATGATTTTGCTCAGCACAGATTTTTAGGTAGAATGAGTTAAATAGGGATAGGCTTTTCTCTAAAGCCGAGATTTATTTTTAATCTGTGCCTTAAGTAGTTTTTAATATGACCTAATTGCCCTCTCTCGAATAATTACCCCTTTTAATAATTACCCTCTCTTTTTCCTCACAAATTTTAAAATATTGAAAAAATTATTGTCATTTTTTAAGTATAATATCAAAAAATAAATAAATTTTTTTTATTTATTTAATTATCCTCTATTTAATGAGATATACCCCAAATTTTGCACCTCCTTTCGATTAATTACCCCCTCCAGCGAGAGGGCGAAACAATAATTACCCAGAGTAATTATTCGCGCATTTACTGTAATCAAAAATAATTGCCTATTTCATCTTTTAGCCTGGCACATTTCTACACTAGTTCTTTTATCAATTGCAATCACTGCAGGCATCTTTGCTTTATTTGCTTCTTGTTGTGTCCTCTGGACCGGTTAATATTTTTAAAAATTGTAAATTATTATTTCTAATTTAATTAAGGTCTTTGTGCTCCTTTTGTGGCTACACTTGAATTTATTGCATGTAAATAATTAATTAAATATTTTGATTTAATTAAATTTTTCTAAAGTTATTTGTTCAACTATTGGGTGTATTATTTTCTTTATAAACGCTAATCGTCCAGAAATTCGTTATGTACAAATCCCCACTTCCGCAGAAAGATGGAAAATTAATGAAGTAATTTAAATTATTTTTGGAAAATATTTTCTAAAATTTTTAGCAAATTCGCGGATTTTCTTTTGATTTAACTTTTGCTTCCATTTTTATATTTTTGTTTGCTTTCATTATTGGAGTATTAAGTACAATTACCGTATTTGTGAATGCAAATCGTGATCATCATCGACGACATTTAATTAGGTATTTTTAATAAAGTAATTTTTTTAACAAACTTGCCGAATTTATTTTTATTTTCCTTTTTAAGTTCAAATACCGTATTTGCTCAAATATTTACCCTAATTATTGTTTCAATCGCTCGCTGGGGGTAGAGGACCATTGTGTACCGGCCGGTGCCATATTTTGGACCATAACTTTTTCTTTTCTCAATTGATTTAAATAATTAATATATCAATCGAAAGCCCTGGATGTGAGGATTATTTTTGCCAACAGGAGTGATCAAATCTCAAATAAAATGTTACAGCCAGATAAAGGTCAAAATCACTCGCGCATTTATCAAGATGTAACTTTTTGTAACATGATTTGATCCTCACATACAGAGCTTTCTAATGACAAGCTTTATTCGAATTGGTTGGAAACCCAAAAAGTTATGGCCCAAAATAAGTCGAGTTACACAACTGGGACGTTCCGTTCGCTGGAGAGAGCAATTAGCAGGGTAATTATTTAATGTTACTTCTTAGATTAATCATAACTATTTAGGAATATTTTTTTATCCTCCGACTGAGGGGTAATTAATTGAGAAAGGAGGGTAATTATTTGAGTAACTACGGTAATTGATAAAAAATATTTTTTTTAATTTTTTCTAAAAAGAAAAACCTTTCCAAAAACCGAAATAGCCACAGTCTCTTCCCCAGCTATTGACACATCAAGTTCAACAGCCGTTGCCACATTTGGAAATGAACATTCACGACCAGCTTCTCCCGGAATTGCTGTTTAATATATTTTTAAATTATTTAAAAATATTTTTTTCTTTAAATCTCTTAAAATTTGTATTGATATTTTTTATTTTAATTTTAAAATAATTAATAATTTTTTGCTTATTAAAGTCAAAAATAAATTTTAAGTAAATAATAATCTATTTAAAATATAATAAAGTTCAAAGATATATTTATTGAAGGGTCTAGTTTAATGCATATTTTCGAATATATTTTTAAAATATTTTATTCCAAGAAGATGAACGGGAGCTCTGAGAGAGAGATATTCAAAGTAGGGTTCGATTTTACGGGGCGAAGGCTGATTTTACGAAGAACGGGGGCTCTGAGAAGAGAAAGCTCCCACATTCCCTGGGGAATTCCTTGGATCGGGGAACGATCCAAGATAGGGGAAACTGATTTAGAGAACGATCCTTGGATCGGGGACCCTAATTTAAGGTGAACAGAATTTCTTAATAATTTATTGTAAAAAAATAAAATTTATAAAAAATATTTCACAAATATATATTTATTTATAAAATTTAGAAATTTATTTAAAAAATTGAGTAAATTCTTTAGAAATTTTTAATTATTTTTATTTAAATTTTAGAGTCTTTAGTTCTTTAAATTCTCTTAATTAATTAATTTACAACTGTCCACAAAGAGAAAATAAATGCAAAAAAGGCCACCAAAAATGCAAGAATTGCCCTTAAATTAATTTTTAATTTAATTATTTTTTAAAAATTAAATAAATTGCTACCTGCTCAATCGTTGTTTTAATATATTTGTTCGTTTTTGACGTTCATTGAATGGTGGCCCCGTTGTTGTTAATAAATCTTTTTCCTCTAAATTGGTTGAAATAGAATTTTCTTTTAATTCAACTCCACGCATTCCAGCCTTGAAAATTTTTTAATTTTATGTAAAAATTCTAAAAAACAGTTAAACCTCGCTATAAGCTACCCCTGAAGTTAAATACTCCCATAAGAGAAATGGAAAAAGGAGTCTCGTTTTTTTCTTTAGGAAGACAAATAATAAAAAAGTGAGGGCAACTCAACCGCTCCAAAAGTCGAAAACTTTGAGGCCCTACATATAACTTTCCGATTGGGGGGGGGGGGGGGGGGGGTAGGGCCGAAAAAGAAAAAAAAGGAAATAGTCTTGCTAGTTTTTTTGGGAGGAACTGGCTATAACTAGAACTAAGCTATAACTCTTATTTAGGATGCTCCTCATTACAAAATAACTTTTTAAAGCCCCTAAGGGGATGTCTAATAGTGAGGTTCAAAAGTAAAAGTTTTTACATAAATTCTCTCCTCCATTGTCATAATTGCATTACGAGCACCATCCCATTTACCTGGACCATCCAAACGATATACATAACTTAAAAATAATCCAAAATATTCAAAGATTAACGAAAAATTTTTTAATTTACGGAGCATTAGCGCCAAAAAGAAGTTTTTGATAAAAAGTTGGATCAGATATAGCATATTTCCCCAATGCCGGCAAACAGCCAATTAAACGTGCCAATTCATCCATATAGTCAATATAGTCTACCTTTAATTATTTTTAATTAAATATTTATTTAATTTATTTGCCTGTATTGTATGTCTTGGACTTTTTACATAACGAGCTTGTAATTTTTCTTTTCGTTCCCGAATATTGTCTTGCATTGCTCTCCATTTAGGTAAAACAACATTTCCATTTAAAACCTCAAAAAATAATCTAGCTTGCATTTCGGCAATTGGCATAATTGAGCCTAGAGGCTAAAAAAGGTAATTTTAATAAATATAAGTAGGGTTGACGGTTCCTGTAAATTTTTCGGAGATCCGAAACCAAACCGAAAATTTTAAGGATGAGCAGTGTCCGAAATTTCGTATTGACGAATTAGGAATGGTACCACACTGAAATTTCGTTATTTTCTACGCCGCAGGCGAAAATTTAAGGAATTTAAGAATGCCATTAAATCAGAAAATACTTCGTTTTCTAATGACCCAATGGAGAACCCGAACCGATATCCGAACCGAAATTTTCGCTTATTCGAAACCGAAGGACCAAACAGAAAAATCCTCGGTTCTTCGGTACAGTCCAGATCCGATAACCCAAGCTAAAAGTATTGAAATTTAATTTTTATAACTACTTGAATTAATCCAATAACGGCCAAAGTATTTTTTGGACTTAACTGTGGAGGGTACATATACTACAAAATTAAATTTATATTTTTTATTAAAATTAAAAAACCAAATAAAGGTCCATATCATTTTCTACAACAGGAATTAACGTTCCATGTTCAGCCAAAGGAAAACTAAAAGAATACCCTGTAGCGAGAATTAACTAAAATAAATTTTTCAATTCAAATTTTTTAGAAAATCCCCTAACATGATCAACATTTTTTATTTCGCTTCCATCCTCAAAAATAATTCCATTCCCGTCTGGTAAAAATTCCCGAATATTTGGTTTAACACGAACAGTTCCACAACACAAACGATTTGGTAATTCATCATTTACAGTTAAATGGGCACTTTTAGAAGAAAAAAAGAGAATTAAATTTAAATTTTAAAAATACGCTAATATTGAATGTTTTGGTTTTAATCCAAATTTGGCATGGTTAAAACGGCGATTAAATCTGGGGAAAAATATATAGAAATATGGATATTATAATTTATTTACATTTTCTCTAAATGCCAAGAAACTGCAGAAGAGGGGACTATTTGTTTAAGTATATGCCACCAACGAGTATTTAATGCCATATCAAAGGGGTAAGAATGATCCATATTTCGAAACAATACCCAAGTACCTCTTCGAGTGACCAAATAGACCTTCAAAAAAATATATCTTAAAAATATTATCGCTTAAACTTTTAATTAAGGATTATTATTTGAATTATACCCTAAGAGGTTTCGAACAAAAAATATTAATACAATTTTTACAACATTTTACACTCTCGCAAATACATTCGGGTGAGGGCTAACTCGAGGAATTCCAACTCACGGAACAGACAGGTCGCGGAACGACAACCACGGAATGGACAAAGCACGGAATATTTTAAAAAATCAGAATATTCTTACAAATCAGAATTTTTCAGATTTTTTTCAAATTGTTTTTTAGAACATTCTAATTTGTTAAAATAGTCTTATTTTATAAAAATATTCAAATTTTTCAAAAAATTCCGATTTTTAAATTATTCCGTGTTTTGGTAATTCCGCGACTTGTCGTTCCGTGACTTGTCCGTTCCGCGAGTTAGCCCGACACGGATACATTCATCTCCAACAATGAGTATTCCTTTTATGTAAATACCTGTTTAGCAACCCTACTTAATTCTACGGCAATATCAACTCCAGAATTGCCAACACCAACTACAACAACAACTTGATCATCATACCCTCTTTGATCTTTGTAGGAATGGGCCTAATATGTAAAAACATTTATTTATAAGTAAATATATTTATTTACATGAATTATTTTCCCTTTAAAATTTTCCTGTCCAGGCCAAGTAGGGGGGGAATTTGGAGTAGTATGGTGACCAGTACATAAAAGTACAGCATCGAAGATTTCATGAAAGACCTCAGAATTATTTCTTTAAAATAAAAATATTTAAAGATGTTGCTAATGAAGATTGATCAAAAAAAATTTTTAAATTATATTCTCATAAAGTGAAGTTTTGGCCTATAACAAGTGATTGGAATTTTGAAATTTTCATACCCGTATCTGACCATTTTTTTGTTCGTACTCATACTTCATAAACAGGTACGAAGTACGAATTTTGGTACGAGCTTCAAATCTATAACCTTTCCTGCAGAATTGTAAAAAAATCTCTCTCATTTCTCGAATTTTCAAGTAATTCTTTCAATGTCTCTTTTTTAGGAACAAATTCCTTGTTCAATCTAGTATGAAACATATCTCTTAGGAATGTGATTAGTTTTCGGTTCCTAAAAAATCATCGGATATCCGGATCCGAACCGAACCGAAAAATCGTCATTTCTTCGGTGTGATTCGGTACAGAACCGACAGCCCTAAATGTGATTTTATTTATTTCCAAAGTTATTAATGTCAAAAAAATATTCAATATTTAAATAAAAAATCTCGAAGACCACCCTCATCCCTCTTAGCTCAAAAATTTTTTCCTAAAAACTAAGAATTTCTGCCGATATAATTAGTAGCTAAGAACATTAGATAAATATCCAAATTTTATTTCAAAAATACCCTTTTTTATATTGTACAATCCATTGACCATTATTCTCAAAATCTTCACATCTCTCCACATTAATAACTTTGTGCTCCAAATATAAATATTTATTAAAGTCAAAAGAATCAGCATAAAGACGTAAATATTCGAGCATACCTTTATTTAAATTAAATTAAATTTAAAAAATTTTAATAAATTATTACATCGATTATGCATAAAATTTGCAAAATTGGAAGGGGGCACAAAAGTGCTATAAGCAGTCATTTCCTTTAAAATTAATTTTAATTTCAACAAAATACTTTTAAATGTACCTTGCTTGTATTAATTACTGTAGTTTTCATTACTGTCCCCTCTTAAAATTTAATTTTTAGATTTTTGGAAGACAAGTAGGTAATATTGAACCTGACAGACCCCATTTCTTCCTCCCCAAGTTTTTCCCTATAGATCTACAGAATCCTCAGACTTTTCCTTTCTTCCATCCCAATTGCCCTCCTTTATTTTGCCTACAAACAAAAGGAATTTTAAGTCCCCCTTGGATGGAAGGAAAATTGAAGGAAGAAGTCTGACCATTCTGCAAGTAATGTACATATATAGGAAGAAACTTAGGGAGAAAAGAATGGGGTTTGTCAGGTTCAATATTGCCGATAAGTCTAAGCTCTTTACCTTCAGTCTCATATTGTTTGTATCTCCAAAGACCCCCAATATCTGTTGAAGATTCGAACACAAAAGGAAGCCAATCATGGTCAAGAGCTTCTCTAAAGGTGTTCAAAATTAATTTTTTTTAAATATAGGTAGTCCAAAATGTGTAAAAAATTCTTAGAATTTCAATTTCAAATTAAAATTAAAAATATATAAAATTCTCCACCTAGCAGCAGGAATTCCACTAGCACCTGCTCCAATAATTGCAACTCTCTTTTTTTGCAACTTTTCATGTTCAATCTCCATCAGAATTTATTTTCTAAAAACTATTTATTTTTATTGAACAATTAATTTATTTACTACTTTGAAAAAAAATAAATCGACGACTAGACTTTTAAAAAATTATTGCCAATTTTTAAAACTTAAAATTAAATGTTTGCAAAAAAATAAAGAAAAAAATAACGAAAATTAAGTAATTTAAAAAATTAACTAATATTAGCATTTTTGTGAAGGAAAGGAAATTTTAAAGGAAAAAAATAAATAAAATAAAAATGCAAACAATACAATAATTTTTATAAAAATTGATTTTATTTATTTGGACTGATAAGCAGAAAAAACAAAAGTAATCCTTTAGTTATTATTGTGTAATATATTAATGTAAGTATTTATTATTCACAAGATTTTTTACAATAATTTAATGAGAAAAAAATTAATCTACCAGAAATACCAACTGAAATTTAACATTGGAGATACATTTAAGAATCAAAAGTAAATTAAAAGGTGAAAATAAAATGAATTAGTATGTATATTCTCATTAATGGTATAAAATCTTTTAACGTTTTTGGGACTAGAGATTGGACAAATGGACAAATTCTTCTATCGGACTAGAGATCTTTTTTGCGGACTAGAGATCGGGTTCATTTTAAAAAAAATATTTTTTAAATTAAAATTTGAAAAATTGGTTGAGGAAATTTTTTTAGAAAATCCTGATGAAATAAACGAAAAATTGGTGTCCTCAAATATTTATATGGAGCAGAGAGATGGGTCGGATTCCGATTTCCGACGTCTTTTCTTCCGACGTTTTCCCTTCCTATTTCCGAAAAAAATTTTGATTTCCTATTTCCGAGTTCCGATTTCCGACTCTTCCGATTTCCGACACCTCTGACAGTTCCGTCCCACCTCTGATATGGAACAGCAATATTTTTAATATTTTAAAAATTAAAGTGCATTTCTATAAATAAATAAAATAAATTGTTTTTAATTTAAAAAAAGTAATTTATTAGCTACAATAATTATTTTCCCAGCACTTTTCCTGTCTTTTTTTAAATATCAAGTTGTTATTCATTTTTTTAAAGTTGCGAACAGAGTTATTCTTTTTTTAAACAAGTCTCATTCCATTAAAACATTTCCGTCCTTTTTTCATTATCTGGCCTTACGGATCTTACAACCAGAAATTTATTAGGAGGTTGGAAAAAAATGTTTTTTTCTTATTAAAAGGCTGTTTTATTTGAAGATGTGTAAAGTTTAAAAAAATATTACAATTAATGTCAGGATGTGTCAGTTATACTTACTTTATATTTTGTTATAATTAAAATTTTTATGTAGCGTTAAAGTGAAATATTGTAATTGTTTCATAATATGTGTAGTCGTGACTAGAGTACGTCGAGTACCGAGTAATTAGTGGAAAACCCGAGCAGTACTGAGTAACCGAGTAATTGGGAATAAGTCGAGTTTGTAAGTAAGTATTATATGTCAGGAGCTCCCCGAAGTTAGGATCCCAAGTTTGAGCCTGAGTAAGGACGAAAAAACTCGAGCGATCAAGTAAATAAAAGATAAATAAAAATACTTGGATGAACTCTAGTCGTGACTAAGAGGGTGGAACTGTAAATTTTTGGATTTTGAAAACAAAAATGAAAATTGGTACTCTGTACGAATTTCGTTTCCTGAGTATGAGTACAAAGGATGAGAGTCCTAATACGAGAACTTGTAACCGAACTTGCTTTCAAGTATGTGGAAAAGGTAGATAGGCACGAGTACGAGGAATTTTTTAATTTTTACTTACATTGGGGGCAGGTGAAGTTTTGGAAATTAATTTGGATTTTATTTTTTTATTTTTCCTAAGTTTTGTTTATTTATTTTGGAATAAAAATGAAAAAATAAACAAAAAAACAATTTTATTTAAAATATATTTTAAATTAAAATATCCAGTCAACAAATCATTTTTAATCCGATTTATAGCATTGTTATTTTGAATATAAAGCGAAAAAAAGAAAATAGGGTTGGATAAAATAGGGTTGGATATATAATTTTAAATTAAATAATACAAAAAAAATCCAGGTTTTACAAATAATTTTCTGAAATTAATTTGAAAATAATTTAGTTAGAGGTTGGGCACAATCGTTTGCTTTGGACACAAATTTTATTCAACCTTTGGTTTCGATCATAGTTTTTGATTCCGATTGTGATTATGTTCCACAATACTTTAAAATTATTTTGTGACATAGAGATCTACTTTTAGTGACATTGACAGTGAAAGGTCGCGATTGTGTTCTACAAAGATTTAAAAATAAGAGTATCAATTGACATTCACAATCGAAATGTCACATTCAAGCGAAATGTCACATTAATGTCACATTAATTTTGATGATAGTTTACCTATCCGAGAGGGGGATTTTGGGTTAACTATCCTCAACTGAGGGTTGATTAAACCCTACATTTTTAATTAAAATATAAAAATAAAAACAATTAAATCCAAAAATATTTATCTAAATCAGTGTTTTTATTTAATTTATAATTCATTCATCTTCTTTATAATCCAATCCTCAACTTTTTCAATATTTAGATCTACCTTAAATTTTTTATTATCCTCTATAGAATTATTTATAATTTCAATTTTAATTTTATTTTCAATAAATTCCTCAATTAATTCATTTCCATATTTCTTTACCAATTCTTTAATTTTTTCCTGATTAAAATTATTTACAAAATTTCCATTTAAATTTTCAGTTATTCCTTCAAAACTTTCCAAATTTTCAATTATTTTTTTTATTTTATTTTCATAATTTTCATTAAAATAATTAAATTTATCAGCTAAATGTTTATAAATTTCTAAAATTCCTCTCAATTGAAATGTTGTTATTAAACGTTTTTTTAATTCTTTAAAAGAATTTAAATTTAAATTATCTACTCTATTTAATATTTTATTTAAAACTTCCTTCCCTTTATTTTTTAAAATTTCAAACCAATCCTCTCCATTATTTTCTAAAATTTCTTTTTTGTTTATTTCTTCCCTATATTCCAACATATATTTATAAAAATATGAAATTTTTTTATTTTTAATTATTGCTGTTATAACATTTAAATTATCTTCTTTAATATATTTATCTATAATTGATGTAAGATAAACAATTTTGTAGAAGAACCATATCCCTTCTTTTACTCCAAATTGGAGAATAAATATTCCTTAAATTTTAATTAATGATAAAATAGTTTATTAAAGATAGGCGGATATCCCATATATCCTGAAAATCCACTAATATCCCCTAATCCACTTATATCCACCAAATCTTTATGACTTAATCTTTCAAAGCATACTTAAAAGGATTGGCGTTAGTCTCGTATCTCGGGTCTCGTTTTATCTCGTTCTCGTATTTTTGAGAGATCTCGTATCTCGTGTCTCTATCTCGTGAAATTTCATGTTTTTTGAGAGATCTTGTATCTCTTGAATCTCGTGTCCCGTATTTTCTGGGACGAGCGCCAAAACGGCCCAGTCCCCCACCCTTGTTATAGGTGAATGAGAGAGAGAGAGAGACAAGCACTCCTTTGCTATCAAACAAAATAGTAAGATGATAGAAAATTTATAAACGCCTGAAAAAACAAACGTTTTGTGTATGTTTGGTAGAAACTAAATCTTTTTGGTTATCTTGAGAATAGTAGGGATTTTATAAAAAAAATTGAGAATTAATCAAAAACAAATGTCTCGTTCCAGTTTTACTCAAAACCAATTTATTATTCAACGAATTTTACAAAAAATATTAAAATATAACCTCCTTTTTCAATATTTTCATAGCATTCTTTAATTTCTTTAATTAAATTTTCATATTCGTCATATTTATTTATTTCCCCCAATAAGTCCAGTTTCCTCATTTTTAAATTAATTTCTTGCCAATAATTCTCCAAATTTATTTTTTTATAAAAATCTATTTTGTCCCTAATCTCGTCGATTTTTTCTTTTATTAAATTTTTTTCAGAATCAATTTTATAAATTGGTGGAATCTCCAATTTTGTTAATTTTAAATTATTTGATAAAATAGATATTTGGTATTTCTCTAAATTATTTTTAGCATAAATAACCTCGACTTGATTTGTAAAAATTTTTCTTTTAATAATCTTTAAGAAAAATAATTATTTTTTAATAAATAAAATATTTTGGCGCTAGTCTAGTTTATGCGTCTAATGAACATTTATTCGTTCAATCAAAAGAAATTGAATTTTTCTTGGTGCTGCAAAGTCAGGGTTTTTTTCAAAGTCAGTCCAAAACATTTCTTCATGTCCCGGGACCTACGCCCACTGGATCTGTGACCATTCCTCACATTATCCCTCAAAATTTCTGAAATTTTTAAAAGTTGGCTATAACTTTCAGAAAAAGAAGCTATAACTTTCAGGAAAGGAATGGCCCCAGACCCAGTGGGCGTATGTCCCGGACATGAAGAGATGTTTTGGAACCACACACTCTAATCTGCACCACCAAGAAAAATCCAATTATTTTTTTGATTGGACCCATAAACTAGACCAGCACCAATAATTTTCTTTTATTTACCTGATTTTTAATTTTCGGAATTATCAATTTTAAATTAATATTTATCGGGATTTCTATAAAAATTTCTGCAAAATCGTATAATAAACTTTTATAAACATCCTTTTTTCTTTCAATAAAATTTTTTTCTATAAAATTTAAATTAAATTTTATATTTTTAAATTTAAAATAATTAATATTTTTGATTTTCATTCCTTCTATTTTTTCTATTTTATTATTTTTTGATCCTTTTAATTTATACAATAAATTAGACTTAAAGGTTTTATATTCATAATTTAATAAATAATTAAATTGACGTGAATTTTGGTAATCTTCTTTAATTTTTAATTCAACAGTAACTAGATGACAATTGAAAGTTTTAAATAAAAATAAAATAAATACAATTTGTAAAATAACAGAATAATTAGAAAACATTCTTTTAATTAGTAGACTATAAATAAATTTAAATTAATTTAAAAAAGAATTCCTTGTGTTAAAAAGGAGAAATGGAGTAAAGCATCTGGGCTATACCTATTTCTCTCCTTTAGCTAGTTCAAAAGGTTATTTGGCGGTGGGAGCGAACCAGCATCATCAGTGGACCGGACTGATGGACCGGATGAAGTGGACCGGATGAATTTCTGAAAGCAACAGTAACTCGAAGACAAATAGTAACTCGAAGACAATGCCCTTTTAGGTAGGTAGGTAGGTTAGGCTTTAGGAATTAAATAGCTACCTATATGCTTTAGCTACCTATATGACTTTTTGGCTTCCTAAAATCCCAAAAAATGAACATTTAAAAAGAAAGGATCATCAGTGTCGATACCTCCTCGAAACTACACTCCCTACCCCCTCCCCCTCCCTAGTTAATTTTATAATTATTTTTATATTTTAATATGTTAAATTAATTTTATATAAAATTTAGCTGGATTTTATAAAATAAAAAGTTAATTTTTTTTATTTTATGTTCGATTGAGAAATATGTAGGTAAATAAATAAAATCAGCTTTGATTGTCCTTAAAATGCCTTTGATTTCGCCTGTTTTTCCGAATAATCAATTAAATTAAAGGGGGAGAAATTAATTGCCACATTTTTTGAATGCACTTTTAGGTAAAAAACGACATTTTTTAACTTATATTTTTTTTAAAAACTGTCATGCGATATTTATTTTTAAATTTTGTACTGTATAACTTAACTAGGTATCTCCAAAAGTGATCCGTGTGGATCCAGAAGTTTTTATTTTATTGTTTCAGAAAAAAAGTTTATTTAAATATTTTAAAAAAATTAAAATATTAATGGATAAAGCGAAGGAGCTAACATTAATATTCTTGAAGTCTATATCAAAATAACATCTCAAATTTTATAATTAAATTAGTTTAATATTATTTTTATTCACTTATTTTACCTCCAAAAAAATTTAAGTAAAAACGACATATATTTATTTGTCCGGTTAGTTTTTAATGCTAATGGTCAACTACCATTATTCGCTTGTTAGTGTTTATGTTGCGGGATAATCGCCCTATTTTTCGACGATTATAATTTGTAAAACTTGCTTATTAGTTAAATTTAAATATATTTATTTTCAACAAAAACCAAAAAAACTTTTAATATAAGTAAAAAATATTATCGTTAATTATATAAATTTTGCCTTTTGTTTGAATTTTATAAATAAAACACTGGGATTTTATCTTCAATAGGGTTGGGGTTTTCGAGTCGGGCCGACGTTCGAGTTATTTTTTTTAGGGCCGGCCTGACCGAGTTCAATGCATTGACCGAATTCAATGCCCGACTCGATCTTTCGGACCGGGCCGGATCGGGCCCCCGCCTTTAATATTTGTTATTTTTTAATGATCATTCTGCAAGTCCACTACATCTAACGGTTATTCTCTGATATTAGTTAATCAATCTCTGTATGGATAAAGCCCATTAAGGGTTCTGTATAAAAAATTTTTTAATGGAATGCTAGCCTGTGTGTTAGCGCTAGTTATCCTGTCTTCAACCATCCTTTATCTGATTGATAAACTTTGTGGGTGTGCTCTCGTAATTTCATCAAAAGCTAAAGCAAACCCAAAAAGACATTATTATTTATTTATTTACATATAAAATTATTTAAAAATTCCAACGAACATACTAACAAATTTTTAGCATTGTTATCATTTACTCGTTAAAAATATTAATCGGTTTAACATAAAATTTCAATAGTCTAATTTTCTATGGAATTTGTTTAAAAACTTTATGATAAATAACTGCTTTGTTTTGCATTTTTATAAAATTAAAATATAAATATTTGGATAAAATTATTTTTAATAAATTTTGTAATTAAAAATGTATGTATTTAAAAATTCTAAATAGATAATTATGAAAAACCTCTTTTTGTCACTAAATTTTTTTTAAACGGAAAATTCGTAAATTCAAAGTATAATATAGATTATTATTTATCTTTCTCAAATTGAGTGGCCGGTCGCTCAATTATACAATCCCCTCTCAAAGTGCCGCTCTATTTAAGACGACCGTCGAACTGGAGTGGGCCGCGCACTTAGAGAAAATACTGTATGTATATTTAGGTTTATAGACATTTTTAGGTCCAAATTTTTGGGTATTCTTAAAGAAATTAATTTACAAATTCATCATTCTGCAAAAACTCGAGATTAATGTCGAAAATATTATCAAAGATATTTTATAAAATTTACATATTTAATCAGTTATTTTTCATTTTTAATTTCCCAAATATTTTTTTAAATCAAAAAAGCATCATTTAATTCACTAGTCATCACACTTTTCCTCTTTTAAAGCTTTCCACTTTCCCATCATTTTTTTCAAGAGTAAACAATAGAAAATAAACAACAGCAGTTTTATGGTCAAAAAAATATTTTTGTTTCCTCCCTTTATTTTAAATTCATCAATAAAAAGAGAAAAGGCCGAATAAATGCTTTAAAGACCTAGTAAATACACAAATAACAACATCTTTTTTGCTATTATTACAATCATTCTTTTGTACATTTTTTATTTATTTTTCCACTATTCCCGTCTCTACAATAAAAAAAATATATTTTTTATAATCCTTTAATCAAATTTATTCTAAATCAATATTTTTGATGTTAATTGTTTTTAAATATTTTTAGTTTACTCTTACAAGTAGGGTTGTACCCCGAATCCTGAGGGCACGTTTTTCGGGGAGCGTTGGAGTATGACTGACAGAATAATACTCACAATTTATTGTCAGTCATCCTCCAATGCGCCTCGAAAAACGTGCCCTCAGGATTCGGGGTACAACCCTACTTACAGGGAACCATATCGAACTGTCACCAAAAATTCCGTAATTATTTTTATACCATCGTGTAGAGCAGGGCCGATTTACTATTGTCAGTTTTTTTCTTTTTCGGCCCTACCCCCAAATCGGAAAGTTATAGGGCTTCAGAGTTTTCGACTTTTGGAGCGGTAGTAATATTGGGTATTTTCTTTAATTTTTAGTTTAATAATTTCGGGGATTGTAAAAAAAATTTTTTTTGGAATCTACATAATTATTTTTGTAATTTATTTTTCTTTATATTATTTTATTTACAAAAAAAACAAAAATTATTTTAAAAATTATTTTGTGCACTGATAAGGTTAAAAATGGAAAAAATGATCAATTGAAATTATAGGGGCACACAGCGTTCCGCCAATTTATTTTTTCACCGTTCATCACTTGCAAATATTTTTATAATAAAATTGTTAAAGTAGTATGTAGATGCGCAACATTTTAACCAATATTTTCTAAATTTACATATCTTTTTCTGCTAGCTATTTTTGGGGAATTTTCTTATGTCCACGCTTAGTGTGGCAATTTCAGAAAATATTTGGGGAGAGTTTGAATAAATAAATATTTTTGTATTTTTAATTAATTAATTTCTAACCTATTTATTTAATCAATAAAAATCAAGAATCCTTTTTATTATCAAAATCTTTTAAATATACTTCAAGGTTATCGCTATTTCGTTCATTTAATACTTTTTTCTTTCTTTAAATAATAAGAACATAAAATAAAAAATTTTTTTACAATTTAAAAATAGATTTAAAACTTCTAATTTTAAATACCGTAAATGCTGACATAATTACCTTCTCTGATACTTACCCCTAGTTATTTTACTCAAACTTTAAAAATATTTAAAGAATTAATATCAAATTTAATTATTGGAACATTTTAAGACTCAATATCAAAAAATAAATCAATTTCGCCTCAATTGAATTGAGATTTACCCTGAATCCAGCATATCCTCCCTAATAATTACCCCCCCCCCCTCCATCGAGATATTGAAACAATAATTACCCAGGGTAATTATTTCAGCATTTACGATATACTTTTATATTTGATTAAAAAATAATTTAAAAATAATTCTTTCAATTATAAATTAGACAATTATAATTTACAATGATATGAAAATTTAAAAAAAAATTTTTAAATATTTTAACATTTTTAGAATTTTTTAAAATTTATTTTATAAAATGGAAACAACCGAAAAACAGACTTCGTTATTATTAAAAACAATTTTTAACAAAAAAGAAACGAACAAACTTTCTAGTCAATTTCGCCCATTTCTCTCATACAAAAACTTTAAAAAAATTTCTCAAGAAAAATTGGACAGTTTTGAAGGAGGTAATTTGTTTGAAATTAATGGAAAATTTAATGGAAAATTAATTAGTATATTAATTTGTAGCGATTTTCAATTTATTTTCAAGTTTTTTTGAACTGACTAAATTTTTGTTAATTAATTATTGGCCCATGTAAAAGGAGTGTCGGCATCAAATTTTTCCTTATTTCCTTGAAATGGTTATTTTTCCTTATTCGGACCGTATTATGTCTGTACCGAGTTTTGGAGGACTGTGTCTACCAAAACTCGGCCAGATCTAACACGGTCCAAAAAAATAAAAATATTGTCTTTGGTTAAGGAAAATAACAAACTAAGGAAAAATAACCATTTCAAGGAAATAAGGAAAACTATGATTCCGGCACTCTTTTCACATAATGCCTAATTATTTATAAAAATCCAAATCTAGAATTACCTACATAATTTTAATTAAAAATATTTTAGAAGAAAATATTTTAAACGAAAATATCAACCTAACATCTACTTATTCAATTACTCAATTTTTGAAGAACATTGGAGGAGGGCATTCCCTGTGCAGAATTCTTAAACAATTTTCAGATGGCCGTATTTGGATTGAAATTGGGGGGCATGAACTGTTATTAATGCAAACAGTTAATGTAAATACAGAAATGTTGGAAGGGGAGAAAGAAGTAAAAATAAATATAAAATTTAATTATCTAATTAGACCATCTGTTTATATCCCTTATTTTGAGTTTTTAAAATCCAAGGGATAGAAGAATTGTTTAGTTAATTTGGAGTTTTTATAAAAAGTTCTGGACAATTATTTATGATGTAGATGTGAAATTATTTTGAAACGAGACGATAAATTTCGAAAAAAGGCAGCTGAAATCCTCAAACCTTAAGATGCCGGGATCGGGATTTCGATTTATCTTTACATAAAAAATAACCTGACATGAGTTACAATCTGTTCCAAAATTATAACCGCATCTCTATTTATCTCAATATTTCATGTTCCAGTCAATTTTTCTAAAAGATTTTTTAATTATCAGATAGGACCATGGGGTTATAGGTAAGATAAATTAACACATTTTAAATTTTTAGTAACCGAAAAATTAAATTTCAGATTCCTCCACACTCTCCACAATCAACATTTCCAACTGGAAATATATCATCTTCAACTTCCCCACATTCTCCACACTCTCATTTAACAAATTGTATTTTTGCTAATAACAAAAGTTATTCTCCAATGATTCGCCCCTCAAGTTTGGGTGGTAAGATTTTGAATTTTTAAAGATTTAGTGTCGAAATAGTTTTTGTTAGATTTTTTAAATATTAATTTCTCATTATTTTTCTTCAATAAAAAACCCCAAAATAATTTTCTTCCAAAAAAGGTTACCCAGAAAGAATGCCCTTTTCTTCATTTATCCGCTCATTTCATTGTTTATTGAAGAACAAAGAATTTATTAAAAAAAATTCTGAAGAAAAGGAAGAGAATATTAATAATAATAATTCAATTAATGATCGAGAAAATGTCAGAAGGATATTAAAAAGGGCAGGTATTGCAGAGCATCGTTACAGGCTTGGATTGTCACAGATTTTGTTACAAAGGTGGATATTAAAATAAATTCTTTTAAATAATTATCCAAAATATTATCAATATATTAATTTAAATAATTTTTAAGAGAACTCCTTGAGGAGCTAGAGAACAAACGTTCTGTTGTGCTACTACCTGTTTTAAGTGTATTTCAGGTGGATAATATATGTATATTTTAAATAAATTGTTAGTAAATATTAGAGACCTACACGACCAAAAATTTTCTGGACTCTATAATAAGATTAAATCGCGAGACCCAGATTCAATAACAAGATTCAATAACACCCTATAACCCAAGAACGAAGTTTTTAGGTCCTAAAACTCAGTGTTTCTTCCGAATTTTGATTATATTTCATATAGTCTATGAATTTTTATATGCTCGTGTCTAATTGTAAGACACGAATGATTAACCAAAAATTTGCCCTATGGGACCAAAAAATAGTCTTGAGTCTTGGAAATTTATCGGTCTTAGAAGGCTCTGTGTCTCTAGTAAATATTTAAAATCTTCGCAATTAAAGCTTTTTTGTGTAATTAATTAAATTAAAAATTATTGTGGAAATTGAGAGAAAAATTTTTATTTGTAAATTTGAATAAAACAAATTTTAGGCAAATTGCCGTAAATATTTAATTTCAAAAAGAATGGAAAAGGAGAGGGAAAAAGACGAAGCTATCCGAATAATTCAATGGAATTTTGAACGGTGGCGGGATTTAAACAAATCAAAATGGTGGAAATTATTTGTTTATATAAGGCCACTAATTCCTGCAGCTAGGTTCCAAAAAAAAATTTTTTTTAATAATTCCAAAAAAATTTCCTCAGTGTTGATGCAAGGGAACGTCTCATGAAAGAACATTTGGCACAATTAGAGTTAGAATTAGACGAGCTCCGTTCAGAGCATTCTAGAGCTCAACTAGAATTAGAATCAGCCCAAAAATCCAAACAAATTGCAGAAAAGTGGTCAGAAGAAATTGGGCAAATTAATAAAAAATTAATGGGTGAATTAAAAGAGGCTGAAGAGAAACTAAAAAAATCTGTTAAAACAACCGAGCAGATAAACGGTAATTTTTGGTTAAAAAATTACAGATTAAATCGAATCTTGATAAGCCGTTACTTTAATGTAAGTCTCAAATGTTTCGATCTCGTTAAATCTCTCAATCTCGTTAAAACATATCCCTCGGGACCGAATTGTGAGACTAAAAAGCAGAGGTGGGTCGAACAGGAGGTGTCGGAAATTGTAAGAGCCGGAAATCGGAACTGACTCAAAAGTCGGAACTCGGAATTCCGACCCACCTCTGATAAAAATGGAAGAGACGTGATATCGAGATTCGGTTTTAATTATTTAAATAAAAATTTGAAGAACATTAAAATTTAAAAAAAATTAAAAACTCAAAAAGAATTAAAAAAAATAAAAGAAATTAAAAAAATAAATTTGAAAAGTTTGGATTTGAAATTGTATTGAATTTATGTTAAAAACAATGTTTGTTGTAGGTCCTATATTTTGCGTGTTTCAAAATTTATGTGCTGCTTGAGACAAAAATTTAATAAATTTCTGCTATTAGGTGTTCAAAAACCACCAGACCCCTTACCCTTCCTAATTATAATAAGTATATGGTTGATAATTGTGCGGAGACGGAAGAAACTGGAACCCTTCAACGAGGGAATTGGGTGGAATTGGGGACGCGTACGCCTTACCATTTTATGGTCTATCATTACTAGAGAGGCAATAAAAGAGAGCAGACACTAACAAATAAAGGTACCACTATAGAGAGAAGAATTGTGTGTATTCTCTACGCCGTCCCCAATGCTAGCAACGAATCTAGGGCGCGCGTAAATTGATTTCATTGGTCTATTTAACGTCCACGACAAAACTTTCGTTCCCATCTATCTTTATTCACTCCTATTACCCTTTTTTAATTCCAAAAATCAAGGATTGGTCAAATACCAAACATAAACACCTCTCAACTTCTATTTCAACAATTTAGGGACAAATAATTTTTTAGACAAAATATTCTACTTTTTTTATTACCAAGCTGTTATATTTCTTATTTTCTGCTAGTACTACATGTCCAGATTCACAAAATCACAACAAGGTGCAAGGAAATTGGTATATGAGGTGGGTTAAAATTTCTTTTCAAATTTTTAATTTCAAGTTGTAAGCGGGGGGGGGGGGAGCTTTAAGCATGATATCATACATCAACTGAAACGCGGACTGGGGGGGGGGGGGGGGGTGGATAATTCCTAGTGTGGAGAAAAATAGATTTTTCCGGACCTGGATCTGGATTTGCAACCTATACCGGACCGAATCTGACCGGATTTTTCCGGATTTGGGACCCTGACTCCGGAAAAATCCAGTCCGGCCCCGCTCGCTAATAATTACCCATATAATAAATTTTTTATGGTGGCATTCCATCTACTGTAATGGTTAAGTGTAGAAATTTAAAATTTTGTAAAATTCAGAATATTCTATTCACGAATCTTAAAAAGCATTTCTTGAAGAACTAATTTCAAAATACACTGAAATACTTTGCCCCAAAAATAATACATAAATTTCAGTAAAATTATGTGGTAATTCCGCGACTCTACAATTCGCCTATATTACCGTAACCTTACTTTGCTTGACGACCAATTTCATTCCATTTAACCCCAGCCAGTACTTGTATATAGCTTCACATTTTTAGTTTTTTCCTCCCCTTTCTACATTCATTTTCGCTTGCCTTTATTTTTAGTGCTGCTGCAATATTATAGAGGAGCCTCTTAAATCGATTATTCGTTGTAGTATTACCTCCCCCATAAACCTTATATAAATCTTGTTATTTTATAAATAAAATGTTGTTCATCTTTCATATCCGTCATGTCTTGATCTGATTTTGTTTTTCTATTTCATAGGCTCTTAAGCAGGTATACACTCAAGTAGGCGCAAGGCCATAACGGCGCAAAGCCATAAATTGCTGGAAAACTTCTGGCCCTTAGCAATTTTGGTACCAATCTCTTTAGCTCGATGAGAGGAATCGTTTATTACTAAATTTAGTAAGATTCTGAAATCTTGAAGTAAGTAATGGTTTTGCGCCATTATGACCGCTCGCCTACTTGGGCTGTACCCCTTAAGTTTCTTTAGTAGCTCATGGAATATGTATGTATATTTTCTTGACCGGAATTTTTTTACCCACAAATTTAGATTGACTACCTTGAAGGACTTTCTCTCGTTACAAATAAATCAATACCTCCTACTGTATCTCTCTATAGCGAACATTGTCCTAGTTAAGATCTTTACTCATTCTCTTCATTCCCCATACCATTAAAAATAAAATGGCTGCCAAACGCAAGGTAATAAGTTTGGAGACAAAAAAGTACATTATTGATGATTCTCAACATGGTCTTAAAAACAGTGAATTGTGCAGAAAATACAACTTGGATCGAACAACTGTATTAATGATTCTGAAAAATAAACAGAATATTTTAAATGCTATAGAGAAGGGAGCAATTGGAAGCAGAGCTAGACTTTACAGACATTCAGTTTTGGATGAGGCTTTGTTGGAATGGATTAATATTCAAAACTCTAAAAATATTTCATTCGATGGCCAAATACTTAAGGCTTGCTTATAAATCAGGAAAATTTTTAGGAACTTAAAATTACAGAAGAAAGCTTTGGAACTCTCTAAACAATTTCCTGGGAAAGCTGATAAATTTGTGGCGAGTAATGGATGGCTTGTTCGATTTCGTGCCCGCTACTCTATTAAATTCACCAATGTAGAACTGGCGAATGGGGCTATCAACACGGATATTGAGGGTTGTGAGCAAGATAAGGAGGTAGTATTTTGGCTGTTTTATTCCTTATCTTGAAGTTTTTTGGCAAGCGTTCACTTAGCATTTTCGTGATCTCTATCTAAATTACTAACTTAATAATCACATATGTTTTATTGTTAACAGCATTCTCATTTCAATAATTTTTAATCCTTATACGTATATGTATGTATCTACCATATTCACTCAAATATCACCTCACTCAAATAATTACCCCCCCCCGCCAGAGGTTAAAAAATATTAATTACTCCCTTAAAAATAGCCTTTCTCAAATAACCTCTAATAATAACCCAACCTCTATTAATTAACCCATCTGCGAAAGATTAACTGCCCAGGGTAATTATTTGAGTAAATACGCCTACTTTCATTCTATTTATTTTCTTGTCGAATTTTGTATTTTTTTTGTTATTTAAATTTTTGGTTTTCTTTTTTTTGTCTTTTAGATAAAGATTTATTTAATGGAAAATCCATCTAATAATAAAATTCGATTTATTCCAATTAAAACTTCAAACACAGCAGAAAACCCAGTATCACCAAAAGAAGAAGAAAAACATGACATGTCCGAAGACGATCCGGAATTTTTGCCGGAAATGTCAAATAGCCAGAAAAAACGCCAATCATACCCAATAGATGTTAAATTAGAAGTAATTGAATATGCAAAGAAAACTTCGAGACATGCTGCTGCAAGACATTTTGGAATTAGTCGAAAATGTATCTCTCAATGGGTTGCTGTAGAAGAGAGACTTCGAGAATTTAAAAATGTGACTGCAAAAGGGGCAAAATTGAGACTTCCGGGTGCTGGGCGTCGGGTACAAAAGCCTGAAACGGATGAAGACGAAAAAGTAAGGAAATGTTTCATTTTGGTAATATTGGGTAACGTGACAGGCATACTTAGAGGCATGTTTCAGTGAATCTTGTGGAAAATATCCTTAATGACGAAAAAGTAAGGAACTTTTTTTCTTTTCAAATGCTCGGGTATTTTATTTGTTAGATACCTTTCTATGTCACCTCTTTTCCCGACTACATCACTTATGCCTCTCCAAACTAAACAGCCAGCTATTAAAATCTCCTGCGACGCGGTCCGATGACGGATGTATATTTTTCTCGAACATTTTGTCATTTCTCCTCACTGTTTTATATATTCTCTCTTACTTGTGTCTTTCTCACATTCCTTTTTATTTCTTGCTAAAGTATTGTGTGTTTACCTAACAATCGACAATTCCCCACTCTTGTCGGCTTTGTCATTTTATTTTTAACATGAAACAGATTTTTGTGTACATACATATTTCTATTTTATTAAAACCCTTCTCAGATGACTCCCTTCAAATTTTAAGTGGGGAGGACCGTTTATATTTTATTTTTTCACCATATTATACCGTCACTTTAACCTAAATTTACTTTATTTCTTATGGTACTTTTCATTTATGCCACACCCGCCTAAATTAATGCTCAAAATGTCATATATAGAGTAAAAAAGGTGCTAAGTCGAACAGACCACTCTTTTTCACAGGAGATGTCTTTGGACCCAGATATAAGGCTCGAAATGGTCAAAAACCATTACCCCAAAAATAAGCTTACTCCCTCTATGGTTTTTGACCATTTCGAGCCCTATATCTCGGTCCATAGACATCTCCGGTGAAAAAGAATGGTACTGTTCGACTCAGCATGTTTTTTTACCCTATATACATAACGGAAAGTATGATTAAATCAGTTAATATTTAATTCTGTACTAGTTATGTCAACTTCTCTAGATGCAGATATTATTCCCGATGCATCCCCACCATTAAAACTCTCAAAACACCGTAGAAAACGCACTCTTATTACACTTGCAACTAAAAGACGTATTATTGAAACGTCTGTTGGAAAAACTTCTTCACAAGTGGGGAAACTATTCGATCTTCCATCTTCGACTATTAGATCAATTCTTCAAAGTAAAAATATAATTCTCGGAGCTCTTGAAAGGGGAGCAGAAGAGAAGCGTTCTTGTATCCAACCAGTAAAGAATGAAAATCTTGATAATGCTATCTTTGATTGGGTCAGAACAACGAGGGAAGGAGGTTCTCCTTTATCAGGCCCAATTCTGAAGGTTAATAATGAATTTTCGACAATGAATTTAAATTCTCCGATTAAAGGAAAAGGCAATTGAAATTGCAAAACAACTAAATATTGAAAATTTCAAAGCTTCGGATGGATGGCTAGAAAAATTTAAACATAGACATTCTATTTCTTTCAACAACAAAGAAGAAACAGATGATGTGAGGGCATTTAAACGCCAAATTATTTTTTAATTTTGAATTAAAGTTTTGAGAGCCTGTTGGTACTTATCATTTTTTCCCTTTATTTTTCCTTTGTACTTATAATATTTCAATTCAAATGTTGCTCACTGTTATATTTGTTTTTTTAAGATTCGTGTTAGAATCCAGAGGTGTGTCATAACAGTCAGAAGTGTCGGAAATTGGAAGAGCCGGAAATCGGAACTGGCTCAAAAGTCGGAACTTGGAAATCGGAAATTAAAATTTTTTCGGAAATCGGAAGGAAATAACGTCGAAAATCGGAATTCCAACCCACCTCTATTAGGATCCAAAAGATTTAAAATACGTTTTTTGTAGGTAGATGAAAACGTCCATTTTACACACTTAATTTAATTTTATTAGGGGTTTGCGTACACAAAACATCGCCTTAGTGTTGATGGACGTAGAACCTATTGGCGTTGTGAGAGACGTAGTTCGTTAACAGGCTGCCATGGACGTGCTGTTACTATTGGAAATGAGGAGGGGCAACCTGTTCTTTTAACTGTTCATCATAATCACCCTCCATCTGAAAAATATGGTCCATTGACTGGAGGGACTGGAGTTCATGGGTCTGTCTTCTGCTATACCCAAATCAAAAAATATTTTATTTTTATTTTAGCTGGGCAATTGGAGGTGATGTTGTCGGTACTTCTTCCACTACTCCACCACCAACTAATGTTCGCGGAGTTCCTATCGTTCCAAAAATATCTCGTTGTGATATTGCAAAAACTTATGGGGAAACTGCTGTAAATTCTGGACGGAAACGCCGTTTTGAAACTCCCCAATTTCCATTTGCTCTTTCTCTCCCACCATTTATTGGAGATGGGGGTATTTTATAGAATTTATTATTCTTTAATTTAATAAAAATTAAAGAGCCTCCAAACCTTACAAAGGCTGATGAGACTCCCAATTCTCCTCAAAATTGTTCTTCATATTCAACTTTGGAGCAATTTATCAATTCCCATTCTGACAACAATTTACCTCCTTTTCTTGAATCAGCACAGGATAACTTTAACGTTGAAATTCCAATAAAACGCCCTCATTTAGAGGATACTAGTGATGGCGCAGAATTGGGAGAACTTTATTCGACTGAAGGATTTTTTGATCCAAACAATGAAAGCTGTAAGGACAATGAACGTACAGCTAAATTAGATCTGTTGAAGAAAGAGTGGGAAGGTAGATTATACTTTTTTTTAAATAAATTCCCTTCCTCGTGACTTGGACACGAAGTTTTTGATATGTCAGAATTTTCGACTCTTGTCAAATTTATGCGTCTCGTGGAGATTTATGCGTCCCATAAAGTTGTATACAGTTGGATCTTGATGTTAAATATCCGTTGGGGCTGAGAAATCATATTTAGGAGTGAGGGTTATACTCTTCCCAGCTAATTTCAAATAAATATTAAAAAAACATTTAAAATGTAATTTTGGAGGCTAAAAACCGATTGTTTTGGATTTTCTTTTGTTCTTATAATTTGGGTTGTGTTCTGTAACGTTTTTTGTTTTGACCTGTTAATCTATTTATAGCGCAATAATTATGCATTTTTATTAAAAAATTTATTAGCTAGCCAAAATTCCAGTGGTTTAGGTCCATAACACATGAGTGATACAGAACTCAACGTCAAATTAAGACAAAAAAAATCGTTTTACAATTTCATGAGGTACATAAATTTGAACAAGATTTCAATTCATTACATATTCAACTGTTCTTTCTGAAAATAGAATTTCTATTATTCAGAATTCCCTTCATATGATCCTTCTCAACCCTCCTCTTCATTAGCAGCAGTACAACAATCTGCTGATGCATTAATTAAGAATTCATCAAGTAATCAAATAAATAATGTTTCTTCTTCGTCTTTTGGAGGGACAGCTTTAATTAGAGAAAAGTCCCAACTTGATTTTTTTCTTCAATTGCCAATCAACACAGAATTTACTAGTGAACAGCATGGCTGTGGTTTGATTAAAATTTTTATAAAATGGAGTTGTGGGGGTTAATTGAAATACTTAATGGCTCCTTTAATTATCCCTTTATATTATCCCTCTATCCTGTGTCCTTATTCTATTATAGCCATTTTGGTTTTAAAAAGTTTTGAGTTTATTTTTCTCGGTTCTCGATAGGTTGTTGGTTCCTGAAAATTCTTCGGATATCCGAAACCGAACCGAAAAATCCTCGGTTCTTCGATTCGGTTCGGTCCAGAGCCGACAACCCTAGTTATCATTATTTCATTATAATTAGTAAATGTGTTTATTTAATTAATTTGTGTGTATATTGTGATTGCAAGTGAAAATAAAAACTGAATTGTCAGATAATAAAATAATAATTTTTAAATGATTATTAACATAAAAAATTAATAAAAAATTTTAATGTTCTTCAAATTTGTAAAAAATATTTTTTTGATTTATTTAGTAACGATAAATAAATTATTATCAAATTTTCTAGGAACAGCAACAAATGATATGAAACAAATGCCGACAACACAGGAATGGGAGAATGATCCGAGGGTAAATAAATTTTATCTTGTTTCGTGCCAAAGATTTGATTCGGAAAATTATGAAGATGTTGCTGAATATATAAGAAAAATCTAATTTTTTTGACGGATTCTATTAACGAAACTACCGTATATGCTCTAATAATTACCCTGTGGTATTTTTGTTCTGACCTCTCGCTGGAAGAGGTAATTAATAGAGCGGGAGATAATTATTCAAGATAGGTAATACGGTGTCATTGTTCGAATTTTACATTCCCTAGTCTATTAAATAGTTTCTATATTCTCAAAAATATTTCTAAATTTAGACAATTGAACTTCGTAAACAGTTAAATGATGCTCTCGATCGTGAACGCACTTCTCAGCACAAACTTCAAAAGACTGTTGATGAGTTGCTTGATGCACGTTTAGAGATTGATGTTAAAAATGCAAAAAATGAGCGTTTAGAGAAGAGACTTAAAAAGTAACTCTTTTAATTTTAAATGAGGAATATACCTTTCGTTACCATACATATATGCTCGAATAATTACCCTGTGTAGTTATTGTTTCGACCTCTCGCCGGAGGAGGTAATTATTCGTGAGGAGGTGCTAGATTTAGGGTACATATATTTAAATCGAGGAGGTTTTTTTGATATTGATTAATAAACTGTTTCAATAGTTATAATTGACTGATTTTTTCAACATTTTAAAGATCTGCGTATGAGGGGGTAATTATTAAAGAAGGTAATTAATTGGGCATATATGTTATATGGTGAAAACTATTCGGTACTTTGAAAACATACCTATGTATTATTCTAGCGCAAATGATGAATTGGCTAGTTTGCGTGAACAATTGGATCAATCTATGGATCACCGTGAAACACTTGAAAGACAACAATTCGAATTAAATTTAAAGGAATCCAGAAAAAGGACAGAATTACAGAGAGAATTGGAAGCTAAAGAGGATGAAATGGAGGAAATGAGGTGCTTGGATTTTTTTTAATTTAAAATAAATTCAAAATAAATAGAATTCAATTTCAACGTAAAATTCGAAATCTCGAATCGACTTTGGACGATGCTCAACTTGAAATTTCGTCTCTTCTTAAACAGAAAAAAGCTGCATGGCAACGCAATAGTCAGTCTGTTTCAATGAATGGGTCTTTGTTGGATTTGGCTCAAAAGTAAAAGAAAATTGAAAAAATATTGGCTCTAGTTTAGGACATGCGTCCCATGAGCTTTAAGCATCTTTTAAGCGTTTAAGTCCCAAAATAGGATAAACAAGCGGCACACGTCGGAATCCCTTTCTGCGCTAAAAATAGAAGAAATCTGAGTGCTAATCCTACCAAAATCTCAAAATTTCGATTGTGGTGCTGTCAAGTTGAGTTACATGAATATAGAGAAATTAGGAGTGAGATTAACAGAGATATCGATGGATTTGTAAATATTAAGTGGTTTTGGGTCGATTAAGAGATAACTACGTTTGGGATTCGAGAGGGATATCGAGGAATTTGAAAGCTCATATATGATATGGAAATCATATTCTCTGATGGGCGCATATTCGCTTTTTGGGACACATATACTCTCACGGGACTTATATACTAATTTTGGGACGCTTAAAAGCTCATGGGAGCGCATGTCCTAAACTATAGCCAAAATATTTTATTAAAATTTATTTTCAAATAATTAAGTAGCAATTCACCTGAGAATCGAACTTTGAAAGGAAAATTGGCTAGAGCTATGGCTTTAATACAAAGTTCAAAAATTCATTTTGACAAGGATTCGTCGTTTGAAGAAAATTCTCAATTGAGAAATTTAAAAAATAATTTGGGTGTGTTTGTTGTAAAATATTCAAAAGTAATTTGGTTTATTTTAGGAAGTTCCGTATTTTCTTCAGTTTGCGGAGGGAGTGAATTTGGGGATTTGGAAGATGTACTTTTGGAGGAGGAAGGGAAGGAGTTGGAAAAAGAAGGGAATGTTTCAACATCACAACCAAAGTTAGAAGATGGAGGAGGGGGAGAATGTGCTAGTAGAGAAACTCTTACTTCATTATTAGCTGCTATAGAAAAGGAACAACAATTTGATGGGGCTAATTCTGATACAATTGAAGGCTCTTCTTGTGGAACAGAAGAAATGTGAGAAATATTTTTCAATTTATTAAAAATAGAAAGAACAAAAAATAATATTCGGGTATTGTAAATGCTCAAATAATTACCTAGGGTAATCACTGTTAGGTGTACATTAGTGACCGGCAAAAGAACAAAATGACCGGCATTTTGGATTTCACACTCATACCGGATCCGGCCGAATTTTTCTGGATTAGTCCGGTTCGGAAAAAATCCGGAGATAACGAAAAAACCCGGATTTGGGATCCGGACTCCGGAAAATTCCGACCGAATCCGGTCCGGCGCCGGTCACTAGTGTACATAGTATAGAAAATTGTTTTAAAATTTGTATTTTGATATTTTCATCTAACAACCTTTGCAATTTACACAAATTCTTGGTGTAATTTTATGTTATGTACATATATCAGGGTTCAGACGTATAGCCATGAACCCGAAAGCATCCTTTTTGAGTCGAAATCCGACTCAATATTTTACTCGATATGTCCGAACCATGATGTGTATATTTAACCTTCTGTTTCTTTTATTTTTAGAACAATGACGCCAAAAAATGAAGGAATTGAAATTCAAAATGAGTCAGAAATTTCTCGAGTTAAAAAGTGTTATAGGAGTCATGACGTGTCAACAAAACTCGAAGCAATTGATTGGGCAAAGAAAAATTCTATTCATTCAGCCTCAAGAAAATTTGATGTTGATCGAAAAATAATTAGAAATTGGATGAACAGTGAAAAGGAACTTGAACAACTTGAGCAACAAAATAGCCTAACAGGTGGACAAAATCGTAAGAGACTGGCAGGAGGCGGTCGTAAAGTTTCTCATCCGGGCATTGAAAAGGAATTGTCAAATTGGTTGAATGAAATGACTGAAAGGAATATGATTGACTTTAATCCTTAAAATATTCCGTTTTAAAATATTCGTTATATGTAATTTATTTTTTAAGAAAAACTTGTAGTAATTATTAAGCTGGGTAATTATTGAGCATTTACTTTATGTTACCAATTTGGTACTTTTCCGTTAATCGACCGCAAACTGAGTATTAGCCAACTTTAAACAGTTATAACTTTTTTATGCTTGATCCAATACAGATGAATGTTATATCATTCTAAAGCTCTCGATAAGATCTATCTTTTACCCAAATGTGCGGATCAGGTCTGATCACTCATAAAAAAGTTACAAGTCGATAAGTGCAAGAAATCGTTGTTTTTCACTATTGTCGGGATATAACTTTTCTATGAGTGATCAGACCTGATCTATACAGTTGGGTAAAGGATAGAACTTATCGAGGGCTTTCGAATGATATAAAATTCATTTGTATTGGATCAAGCTTAAAAAAGTCATAACTGTTCAAATTCGGCTGTTACTCAGTTTGCGGTCGATTAACGGAAAAGTACCCAAATTTGTATAAAACAAAGAAACATTAATTTCCTCTGAATTCAGGCAACCCCTTTTTATGGATTTATTAAAAACTTTTTTGGATTTAATTTTTTATTCTAAATTTTTTTTATAAAATTTCCTATAATTTTTTAGACCTGCCAGTTCAAATACTAAATTAGTTGACAAAACGGGAATTTAAAAAATATTTGTTATTTTCAAATGGCTCAATTATTTAATATTTTTTTATCAAATGCAAACTATTTTATATACTTTTTTTAAATGAAAAATAAAAATTTAAAAGAATTTAAATTCCAGTATTTTGTAAATTTTTTGCTTAATATTTAATATAGCGTCCAACCCCATTTCAGAAAATAGCAAAAAGTAAAGCCGTCTGCCACTAACTTAGAGTTTTCAATTTTTGCTATACTATTATGTAGGTCGAGAAATGCGCAGTTGTGCAAATTTTGCTTATTTTTACCAAAATATGGGCATATTTTACGATTTTACCTGTATAACCCAAAACCATTAAAGAATTTAATTCAGTAAAGCAGCTGGGCTATAGCTATTTCTCTCCTTCAGCTAGTGCAATAGGTTATTCGGATCCTGGGAGCGAGCCAGCATCTTTAGTAGACCGGACTGATGTTTATTCATTACACCACGCCGCCTACTGCGCAGCTTTAGGAAATAAATAGCTATATGCTTTACAAGATATAGATTTAAATATACTTAAAAACAAATTTTCTTTAAATAATTTCAACTAGAGATCGGACCAAGACGAGATCTCGAAAAAAAATCTCGGTTATCGAGACGATATTTTTCGTGATATCGATCTCAACCCTCCCAGTCCGGTCTCTAATTTCAACTATATTTCCTCCTCATTCACTAATTAATTCTTCATTTTATTTTTAAGCCAATCATCAATTTCTTCAATATTCCCTACAATATATTTTTTATTTTCTTCTACCGAAACTTTAATAATTTCAACTTCGATTTTATTTTTAATTAATTTTTTAATTAAATTCTTTCCATTTATTTTCATAAAATTTGGTATTTTTGTATTAATTCCTTTCTTTTCATTTAAATCTTCAAATATTTCTTCAAAATCTTCCAAATTATTAATTATTTCTTTTAATTTATTTTCATTGCTTTCATTAAAATAATTAAATTTATTAGCTAAAGGTTTATAAATTTCTAAAATTCCTCTCAATTGAAATGTTGTTATCAAACGAATTTTTAATTCTTCAGTTTGAATTGGATTTTTTAGTTTTCCTTTAAAAAATAAATTTTTAAAATTTATCAAAATTAGTAAAAATAATAATGGAACTTTTTAAATTCTATTAATTAAATCGAATCTCATTTATTACTAAAGATAGTGAAATTTATAAAACCAAATTTTAATTCAAAAAATTGTTTGATTTTCGTCAGACCAACCAATCAACTTTCAAATCCAAAATATTTCAAAAATTAACTTGCTTGCCTCCAGATACTTGTACACGTCCCGAGAACGTCGGCTTAATTCGAGCTAGAGGTTGTCATATTATCAAGATTCGACTGTATCTTATAGAATATTAGCTGTTTGAAACTTTTTTAGAATTTTGTTCCAAAATTAGAAGCTTACAAGTTAGACATATTTTTGAAATTTTTAAAAATTATTATCTGATTGATTAACAAATACATAGTTATGACCCGAAAATCGTTATACACTGCTCCACATAACTATAAGTTCACCCTAAATTTTCGTTTTTCTTAGCTTCTATCGAATCAATCGGGCTGAATTTTATTTTATAATTATTAAAGCGGGTAGCAATTCAGATTAACCCGAGAAATCGAAAAAATTTCCATCTAAAAATTTTTTATCCAATTTTTTCAAAAAACACCCTCCACATAACTATAAGTTCACCTTCAGAAATCACATAAGGAATGATTGAAAAATTCTATAAAAATTCGTGCAAACATTTTCATTGATAATAAGTGGAAAATAAAAAAGAACGAAGTCTGTAAGTGCTTTTTTCATCGTGATCCAAAATCTCGAAAATCAACGGGAAATGGGGGCTACAGTACTTTAAAAATATTTTTACAAGTGTAGACTGTACATAAAATTTTTTATTACTAGCGAAGGTGCTCGCCCTTCGGGCGAGCTCCTCCGCTAGCCTAATTCAAAATCATAACAAAACTTAAAAGTCAAATCAACTCATTTCCGGTCAGTCTTTTCCTTTGACAAAAACTTTTTTCTACCTATTAACTCACTTTTCAACTATTAACTATGATTCATATTAACTAAGATTTATAACTTTCAACTATTAACTATTAATATCAATTTTCAACTATTAATAGCAATTCCAACTATTAACTATTAATTTCAACTGTTGACTCACTTTTCAACTATTAAATATGATTCATATTAACTAAGATTTATAACTTTCAACTATTAACTATTAATATCAATTTTCAACTATTAATAGCAATTTCAGCTATTAACTATTAATCATCAACTTACTTTTTAACTATTAACTATTTTACTATATATACTACTGTTAGTTAATACTTAATAGTAAAAGAACTTTTTTACTATATATACTACAACTGTTATACTACAACTGTTAGTCACTCTAGTACTCTCAGCTATTTAGTGTCACACAGTGTCAAACTCTAGGACTATCAACTATTTAGCATCACACTATGTCAACCTTGCTAGTACTATCAATTATAAGCTATTTAGTATCACAAAATGTCAAACTCTATCACTATCAATTACGTAGTATCACACAACGTCAAACTCTAGGACTATCAACTATTTAGCATCACACTATGTCAACCTTGCTAGTACTATCAATTATAAGCTATTTAGTATCACACAATTTCAAACTCTAGTACTCTCAACTATTTAGTGTCACACAATGTCAAACTCTAGGACTATCAACTATTTAGCCATCACACTATGTCAACATTGCTAGTACTATCAATTATAAGCTATTTAGTATCACACAATGTCAAACTCTAGTACTCTACTTTAGTACTCTAATTTAGTACTACTTTACTTTAATAGTTAATAGTAAAAGAACTTTTTTACTATATATACTACAACTGTTTGTAATAGTTAATAGTAAAAGAACTTTTTACTATATATACTACAACTGTTTGTAATAGTTAATAGTAAAAGAACTTTTTACTATATATACTACAACTGTTAGTTAATAGTTAATAGTAAAAAAACTTTTTTACTATATATACTACAACTGTTATACTACAACTGTTAGTCACTCTAGTACTCTCAGCTATTTAGTGTCACACAATGTCAAACTCTAGGACTATCAACTATTTAGCATCACACTATGTCAAACTTGCTAGTACTATCAATTATAAGCTATTTAGTATCACACAATTTCAAACTCTAGTACTCTCAACTATTTAGTGTC